GTGGCTAGTGGACTCGGCCCACCGACCTTGTAGTTCATAGTCCACTGTGCTCCCCGGATTAACCTTTACGGAGCACCTATTCTGTGCCTCCATAGAATAAGCACTGGACTGCGAACCACTGCGTTTCGAGCCCACCAGTAGCTCCACGGAAGAACAATGAGACTTTTGGCTCCCATAAAAGATTTACAGCCTTGGAAATCCTAAACCGGCTCATTATGAGACTCAATGACACTTAGAAATAACAATTCTGTGCCAAGATCTCCCTAGGAACATTACATACAGAATGCTATTTAATTCTGACAGTCACTCTAGAAAGTATTACTACCCATTCTCCTCCCTCCCCCTGGTCAGAAAAGAAAACAAGTTCATTGAGGTTAAATCACATGTTCATCCTCACCCACCTTGCAGTAACTATGAAGGTTTGCAAATACTGGTCCTGTCTTACCTGAGGACAGGGCTATGTGGGATCATAATAAAATAAGATCTGTTGCTAAAATAAACAATACCAACTCAATAGGAAATGTCAATGTTATAAACTACAGAACACTAGTTATATTAGTGTTACTTATTTTCATGTTAATTGAGAACAGATAATGGACTCTATAGTATTTGTAAGCAGTCCTTGAAGATAAAAGCGTTAACAGCTTTACCCAACTCCATGAAGACCAGAAGACTGGGCTTCTCATGAGGTAGGTGGAACATCTAAAAATGTTCCCAGCGTCCTCTGAATCCTAGTCTCTTCAACCAAGGCAGACCCATTTGAGGGCATGGGGAAATAAAAGATAGCTGGAGGACAAAGGGCCATACCTTATGAATGACACCAAGGGATATAAGGAGAGATGTGGCACTGTGGGATAAGCACTGGACTGCTGGCCAAAAGGTCAGTGGTTCAAACCCACCCGCCACTCCTCAGAAACCCTATCCTGGGTCACTATGAGTGGGAACTGACTTGTTGGCACTTAACATTCTAGCCAAAAATTTGTTGGTTTGAACCCACCAGTTGCTCTGCAAGAGAAAGATGTGGCAGTCTGCTTTGTCAGGATTTATGGAAACATTATGAAGCAGTTCCACTCTGTCCTATAGGGTCACTATGAGTTGGAATTGGGTAGACAGCACTGAATTTGGGTTTGGTTTTGGTATGTCTGGTCATCTACTTCCAAAAACTCAGCCACTGAAATTCCTATGGAAAATAGGGGCAGACTACCCAGTAATCAGTACACACCAATTTACAGTAACCAAGGGACACATGAGCTTCATTGTGTTTATGTAATAATATGTTGTGAACAATTTCACCTGCAGTTAACAATTTTACCTGGTAGACGTGGTGAAACTCAGGTGAAATTGTTTACTACAGATTAGTATGAGAGCACAGTTAATGGATTCTTCAGTAAGAAAATAAAACAGAGCTGAATCTTGACACAAAATGTAACTCAGACTCACTGAGCTTTAAATAAAACTAAGTTACCAAGGAGTTGATTCTACTTAATAGTGACCCCATGTGTACCATATTCCTTAGCTAATCCATTTCCATTATAAACATGAGCTCATCATTAAGTAGGAATCAACTCATCAGTAACTTTTTTTTCTTTAACAGATTCATCTCTCTGCTTTATTCTAGGTGAAACAGTGTGGTAGAGACCATAGTGAATCTCTACAACAAGATCTATCCTCAGTTTTGGCATGTAAAGTTGGATAAGCCTTAGGCAAATCTGCGACAAAAGACCTCTTTAAAGATATCAATTTGAGGACTAAGATGTGCCTGACTAAGTCATGGTATTTTCAATTGCCTCTGATGCATGTGAAAGTTGGACAATGCATCAGGAAGGCCATAGAAGAATTGATGCATATGAATTATGGTGTTGGAGAAGAATATTAAAAGTCACCTGAACAAACACATTTGTGTTGGAAGAAGGATAGCCCGAATGTTTCTTAGAAGCCAGGATGGCCAGAATTCATCTCTCATATTTCAGACATGTTGTTATTAGGAGGTATCAGTCCATGGAGGACATGATACTTGGTAAAGTGGAGGATTAGCAAAAAAGAAGAAAGCCACAATGAGATCTGAATGACACAGTGGCAGTAGCAATGGGCTCAAATGTTAACAATTGTGAGGATGGCACAAGACCGATCGGCATTTTGTTCTGTTGTGCATAGGGTTACTATGAGTAGGAAGTGACTTGACAGCACCTAACAACAGTAACAATAAGGAGTTTGGGAAGATGTAGGCAAAAATATGTTCTCACAACAAGCAACCCAAGGATGGATTACCCAGTAAATAAGGCAAGCAGGAGTTGTGTAAGTAACCTTGTGCTTGTTTATTAATCTGTAGTAAATAATTTCACCCTTTTTTTGGTTCAGTATAGATTAAGGAAGGAGCTCTGGTAGCGTAGTGGTTACAAATTGGACTGTGAACCTCAAGCTCAGCAGTTCAAAACTACCAGCTATTCTATGGGAGAAAGATGAGGCTTCCTGCTCCCATAAAGATTTACAGCCTTGGAAGTCCTGTACAGGGTCACTATGAGTCAGAACTGACTCCATGGCACATAACCACCACCACCATAGATTAAAGAGTCTTGGTGTGGCGCGGTGGGTTAATGTGCCAGATGGCAAAGCCATTTGAACTGCAAGGTGGTGGTTCAGGCTCACCAACTGCTCCTTGGAAACCCTATACAGGGTCGCTATGGGTCAGAATCGACTCGATGGCACTTATAACAACAACAACAACATGATAGATCAATAAATCCTGACACTATAGGAAAAGCACTGGGTCACAAAGTCAGTTAGAACCACAAGGTTGGTGGTTCAAACCCATCAGCTGATCCTCAGAAACCCTATACAAGGTCCCTTTAACTTGGAACCGACTTGCCAGCACTTAACAACAACATAGATTAGTAAACACAAGTAAGCTCGTGCTTACCTTGCAAGATATTACTTCCCTGTCAGGGACTGTACATTTGGAAAGAGGCATTGATTTTGCGAGGAAGATGCTGAGGAGTTGGGAGAGCGAGATGCCAGCCATACCTAGAAGCAGAATCTTTGAGATTGTGAAAAAAATGTGAAATTGTTCACTATAGATTAGTAAGAACAAGTAAACTCATGCTTCCCTTGCTTTTTGGTTAATTTGCCTCTGGAGCCACCCTCCCCCATTACCTTGCTAGTATCACCTGTTCTTACTTGGACTGGTGATCTGACCCTAGAAACAAGATGCAGAGACAGGAAGTGTGGGAAATGGGGTGAATTTGTTCTCCAAAGTCCCTAAGTAATGACTGGACTATCTCTTCTCTGCTAGCAAATAGAGCTGAGAATCCAACTCTACCAAAGAGCCTGAGAGGAAGCACAAATGCATGAAAAATAACACGAACCTCACTTCTTTCAAAAGGCTGTTTACTCAAGGTGCAAGTTTATGCATATATATGTGTGTGTATATATATATCTCTCTCTCTATATATATATAATCTGTGTATCTATCTATGTCTATGTTGTTGTTGTTGTTATGTGCCGTGGAGTCGGTTCCGACTCATAGTGACCCTGTACAGGGTTTCCGAGGCTATAAATCTTTACGGGAGCAGAACTCCTCATCTTTCTCCCGCGGAACAGCTGGTAGTTTCGAACTGCTGACCTTGTGGTTCGCAGCCCAATTCGTAGCCTCTACGCTACCAGAGCTCCTAGATATCTATATTATTAAGTGCTGTCGAGTTGGTTCCACCCATAATGATGCTGTATAGGATTTTCGAGGAGTGGCCGTTGAGCTTGAACCACTGACCTTGTGGTTCAGACTTTGTAGTCCAGCACATTAACCCACAGCGCCACACCCGGGCTCCTTATATATAATATGTATATGTATGTATATGTTGTTATTGTTAAGTGATGTTGAGCGGGTACTAACACATATACCCTGTATAGGGTTTCCAAGGAGCATCTAGTGGGTTTGAACCGTATGGTTCGTAGTCCAGTGCTGATGGGGGTCTCTGTAAAGCGTCAGACTGCAAAGTCGTTTGAACTGCAAGGTCGGTGGTTCAAGCTCACCAGCTGCTCCTTGGAAACCCTATACAGAGTCATTATGGGTCGGAATTGACTCGATGGCACTTAAAAATACATGTATATTAGCTGGACATGTTGTTAACACTCCTTTTAGTTTTCATTTACCGATACTCGTCCTCTTGTCCTTCTGAGGTTTAACCTTCCATAAGCTCAGTTTAACTGTAGAAGCAAGATGGTATCAGCGTGAAATTTGAAGAAATCCTATACTACCTCCTCGAATTCCTTTTCAGGTTCTCCACCAGATGTTCTTTGATTCTTTTGAGCCTCATGCCCTTTACGCCATTAAGATGTGCATCGGAATTCCTTACATGTTGGTTTATTCCTGCGCGAGTCTCAGGGACCAGAAGATCCTGACTCGTGTATGTGTCCCAAAGCTCCCATCCCCAAGCACGGCTGCCCGTCGGCGTATCAGTCAATGCGGGTGGAATGGAACTGGCTCTTCCAACGTCTTTTTCCACCTCTGATTTCCGTTAAGCATTTGCGCAGCCTCCACCGGGCCAGCCTCTACCAGGAGAGGCTTGACACTAGGAGGCCAGCGGCCGCAGGCTCTGGGCGCACTTCCTGTCGGGCGGCTGGCGGGCGGGGGCGGAGCTGTCCGCGTCCCCTCCCCCACCCTGCGCGGTCGCTTTTCCTGCCCCCTCCCGGGGAGGCCGAGGCACCGCGGGGGCGGGGCCGCGAGCAGGGTGGGCGGTGTGGCGGTGCGGGTTGGGCGCCGCGGGCGGAGGTGCGAGCGGACCCGCGGCTGGCTCGGGTGCGGAGCGGGAACGCGCGGCGCGGAGTAGCGCAGCCCAGCCTCTGCGGAGACTAGCCGGCGGCGGTGGTGGCGGCTCCCAGCCCGGTGGGTGAAGGGCCTCTGACCTAGCCGCGCCTGAGTGGGGCCTCAGCCCGGGGCGCTGGGGGAGTCCGCCGTGGCGGACGCAGGAGGAAGCGGCGGCGGCGCGTCCCGAGCGGTGCGCGCCATGTCTGGCGGGCCCCCCAAGGCCCTACCGTCCACGGGGCCCCACTCCCTGCGCGACATGCCGCACCCGCTGGCCGGCTCCAGCAGCGAGGAGGCCGTGGGCGGCGACAGCACACCTAGCCCGGACCTGCTGATGGCCCGCAGCTTCGGCGACAAGGTGGGGCGCGCGAGGCTGGGGACCTGGAGGTTCATTCCATTCCCGGGAGGAGGAAGGGATGATGGATCTGAAGCTACACTAAGCACGGGGCCGCGCCCATCCTGGCGCCCCTTCCCGGGGGGCGGGCCATCGCCTACCGAGTCTTTGGAAAAAGCATCTCTTCTGTGAGGTTACAGCCGCAAGGGAAGCGGCCAGAGGGGACGGGCGTCCCTGGCTGTGACTGGCCGTGGGTGCCGTGACAGCTGGTGGGGAGGGGTCCCGCCTCTGTGCCTGGGACCGAGGATATGTGTGTGCAGAGCTTGACGCCTGTTCCCTAGGAATAGGATCCCAAGTTCCTCCAGGTGCATTCTTGAAGGCTGAGCTGCCGAATAACTTGTAGTTCCTCCAATGTCTTGGGACTGCAAAGAAGCAAGAGTTAATGGTTTTCCGTGGTTGGACCGGACAGCCCTAGTCTAACTGTGAGAGTCCTCGTCTACTCTCCCCCATTCCGCCCCCAGTCATGTGGAGAGTGATCTTTGTTTAGGTTTGCTGTGTGCCCAGAGGAGTCACCTGACTTAGACCGCAGCCGGTGGCGGGAGGAGAAAGTCTAGTTGTGGTTTTCTGTCTAGGGCTCCATTCACCTCCGACGGCCTCCCACACTGTTAAGGTTGGGCAGAGGTTAGTATTGTGGTTGGTGGAAAGAAAGTTCGCCTTTTGCCCTTCTTTGTGCAGAAGGAGGCTCCCGTTTTTTCTTAGAGCAGCACAACCCTCCTGCTGCTTTGAGAGACAGCAGAGTCTGGAAGGGACCAAGGGATGGCATTTCTTGGCCATTTCAACTGGAGCCCTGGTGTGAACAGCACTTGAGCAGTGATTGTATCAGTGCTGCTTCTGTCACTTAGTCACTAATTGCAGATGTTAGCGTGCTCAGCTCTTGTGATCAGGATTTCCTGCGCCTGATAAAATCCTCAACGAAGTACTCTCTGTCCCAATAGCAAATGGACTCAGGGGCTAAACTTTTTTTTCCTCCGAAAAGCATGTGGTACAGTTAAAATGAATATATAACAATATGACTTGCTGACCTTGCACTGAACACTCAAAATAGCTAGAGAAGGGGACTTGATGTACCTTCTTGAGAGGGATTGTGAAAGTAAAGAGTGGGAGTAAACCAGTTGGTGCAGGAAAACTTCAAAAGCTAATGAAGTCAAAGGATTGAGTGGCCCCATGTGTACCAGGGGCCTCTTTGTGGTTATTTATTTCTCTTTATAGATTATAAACTATGTGAAGGCTGAAGGCTTTTGTCACTTGATAATATCTTGCCTATATTTGACATCCAATAAGTTGCTGAATTCATACATGTGTAATTTGATGCTTTCTTATGGACAGAGAAATAGGTCTAAATTAATGTAGAATGGGAATTGATGTTAAACCTTTCCGTTTTTTCTCAGTTCTTTGTTGTTGCTGCTGTTAAGTGCCGTTGAGTCAGTTCTGACTCATAGTGATCCCGTATAGGGTTTCCAAGGAGCAGTTGGTGAGCTTGAACCCCAGACATGCAGTTTAAACGGACTTTGCAGCCCAGTACATTAATCTGCAGGATAGTGAATTTGCTGGTTATTGCTGTTTAACAAATTGTTCCCCTAATTTAGCACCTTACAATAGTTTCTGTGGTTCAAAAATCTAGAAGTTCTGACTCTTGAGTTTTTTATGAAGTTGTAGTCAAGCTGTTGGCTCCTGGTAGCTGTCCAATCACTTCCAATTCCTGGCAACTGCTTGTGTGTCAGAGTTGAACTCAGCTCCTTTCTGGTTTCAGTGGCTGAATGTTCAGAAGTAGATCACCAGGCTCTCTTCCAAAGTACTTCTGGGTGGACTTAAGTCTCCAACCTCTCGGTTAGCAGCATGCTACCATTTGCACGACCCAAGAACTCAGGTGTTGGCTAAAAAAACCACTGCCACTCTTAGTTGCCCTGTATAGGTTTTCTGAACCTGTAAATCTTTATAGGAGCATAACACCTCATCTTTCTCCTGCAGGGTGCTTGGTGGATTTGAACTTCTAACCTTGTGGTTATCAGTCCAGGGCTTATCCTACAGCGCCACCAGGGCTCCTTCAGGTGTTGACTAGGACTGCAGTATTCTGAAGGTTGGACTTGGGGAGGATCCCCTTCTAAACTGTTGGCAGGTCTCAGTTCCTTGCTGACATGGCAACTGGATTCCCCAGAGGAAGTGATCCAAGACAGCAAGAGTGCCCGACACTGAAGAGAGTGTCTGTCACTAAAGCCACAGCCTTATATAGCTTCATCTTGGAAGCGATGTATCTTTTCTGAATTCTGTTGATCATGGATCAGTGTGGGAGTCCTGGTGTGGCGCCATGGGTTAATGCACCAGACTGCAAAGTTGTTTGAACTGCAAGGTCAGTGGTTCAAGCTCAACAGCTGCTCCTTGGAAGTCCTATCCAGGGTCGCTATGGGTTGGAACTGACCCAATGGCGCTTAACAACAACAGCAAACCAGGAGGCAGAGATCATTGGTGCTATCGTGAAGGCTGGATTGCTATTTTAAATATTTGCTTAAGGTCTGGTTCTTAGAGAACACCTGACTCAGTCAGAAGTGTGAACATTTTGCTCATAAGTACAAGAAGGACATGTGCCCTATACCACCAAGATGTGGCTGGTGGGCAGAAGGTCAGGCCCAAGTCTAATTATTGCTGCCTTTTTACAGGGTCTGTTCCATGCAAGAGATAGCCCTGGAGGCATTATTATGATTATTTATTGTGAATTGAATGAAGGTTTATGGACAAGATCATCAGTTTTACATTCAACAAACCATACACTTGGTTTCATCTCAGTGATTGCAGTCCCTCCATGAACAACAGTTTTCCTGCTTCCTTTGTTATGACTATTTCTATTCCACTCACCTTCCCATCCTTCCTCAACTTGGTCCTTAGGTAAATGTTGCCCTTTGGATTTTTAATGATTGACCATTCCGTGGTGATCATACCTTACTAGTGTTGTTATTCCCCTTATGTACATGTTTATTGCTTGGCTGAAAATTAGGCCACAAGGGTGAGTGAGTTCCTTTCTAGACCTGAAGGATGTTCAAGGGCCACAGTCTCCGGTTTCTCTAGTTTCTTTCTGACCAGTAAACCCGGTGTTTTTAATTAATTTATTTTTAAATAATTTAGATTTTGTTCCATGTGATCTTGGAGGCATTAATTATTATTAATTATCGAATGTTTAATAACTCTCCAGGCAGCTTTGGAGAGTATCTTAATGGCACCATTCCCAAGGGCCTGATTTATAGTATTTCCTTAGAGGCCATGCGATGTCATTTTTTTCTCTGACAGAGAGTAACAGTAACCTTGAATCTTGCCTTACACACAGGTTCTCATACCCTTGGAGCAATTTCTGTACAAAGACTGCATGAGAAGGACTAGAGATAGATCAGGACCAGTGGACCCTTTCCCTTTGCCCAGCATTGTCTTGCTCAGGCTGGGTGGGTTGTTGGAGGGCAGGTAGGAAGTTGGGTGTTGCTGTGTGCTGTCTTTGAGGAGAAGACTGTTGTCCTGCCTTTTTGGAAATTGGGGTTGTGATCATGCATGAGAGGGATTCAGAATCAAAAGAATGAACTTTGGCAGGTCTCTCACAGTGCAGAAGGGGATCCTTGCATCTGGACTAGGGTAGTGACATGAACAGGGAAGCTTTGAATCTTGATCCAACAGATGCTTCTGAATGTTGTCCAGGTGCTTGGGTGGGAGAGAAAAATGAACGAGAGGGCTTGTCCCTTGACAGTTTCTCAGACCGTTCCAACCTTGGTGTGATGGGATGAATCTGTCCAGTAGTGCTTACTGTGATTCATTGTTTTCATGTCAGTGAAATCCATCAGGACTCATCTTATCCTTTGTCTCCATCTAAGGAGCTCTGGTAGCATAATGGTTATGAATCGGTTTGCTAACCTCAAGGTCGGCAGTTTGAAACTACCAGCTGTTCTGCGGGAGAAAGATGAGGCTTTCTGCTTCCATAAAGATTTACAGCCTCAGAAACCCTGGGCAGGGTCACTATGAGTTGGAACAGACCACGGTACTTAACAATAGCAACAAAGTATAAATAAATCATTTGACCCCTCTCTCTTTATTTTTACTTTCATTGGTAAACTGCCCAGGGCTGCTTCTACCCTGACTCAGACTCTGACTTCAGCACACCTCCCAAAACATAGCATCAAGCCCTCACCAGCCTCATTCTATAGTTAACATACCTCCCCACATCCTCACCCTCTTCACCTCTGCCTTCTGCCCCACAGGACATGGCTTCCCCTGAAGTCTTTGCAATGGAGGTGTCTCTTCCTTCTATACTCCGCTTATGTTTGGGACAGGAGATGGGGGCTTAGTGTTAGTATCTCTTCTCGTGACTTTACAAACCAATCTCTGCTCCTTTGAGACTCATGGAATTTTATTCATTTAGCAAATATTTGAATGCCTACTCTGAGCCAAGCACTGTACTTGGAACTATGAGTTAACTGGTTAATTAAAGACCCCTGTCTTCTTGCCGTACATTTTAATGAACGTACTATGTTAGGTAACAAATGCTGTTTAAAAAAGAAAGACAGAAAAGGAAAAATAGAGCAAGGCTTAAAGGAGGTTCAGGATCCTGGCTGTGGGGAGGGAGTGTATCTCAGCTTCATTGAGAGATTGAGATTTGAGCAGAGACTTGAAGGAAGTTGGGGATAGAGCAGGCAGATGTCTGGAGAAGATACCTGTTTCAGCCAAAGCAGAGGCTTGACAGCAGGTGCCTGGTGTGTCAGGGAACAGCCCAGAGACCAGTTTGGCTGGGCAGAGTGAATAATAAAGAAACCTGGGGCTGAATAATAAAGTGAATAAGCAGAGAGGAGCAGTGACCAGATCCTGTAGGATCTGGTAGGACCCCTTGAAGACCTTGGCCTTTACTTTGAGTGACAGACAGCCATTGCAGGGTCTTGAGGGCATGATATGGCATATTTGTTGAAAAGGATCACACAGGTTATTGAATTGAGAGT